CAAAATTATTATTTGAGCAGCCCCGGAAAAAATACCTTTTTTGAAAGTCATATCCTTTGTTTTGGCATGTGTTGTCCTGCTCTTGGTAATGATATGCATGTGTAGATGCCAAGGAAAACTAGAGATGAGATGCCACTTTTTTGGAGCCCTGCTGCAGAGGCTTTTCTGCTAGAGAGAATGTATGAATATCACGACGAGAACCACAGTCGGCTACCAGAAACTCGTCACTACAACCACTGGGCCACACAAATGGCCAAGTTTTTTGATGGTTATGTTCCCGATGGTGAGCGTCTTAAAGAGAAGCGCCGACGATTAGGTAAGGTGTACGCCGCATACAAAATGTTACAAGATCATACAGGAGTAGGATGGGATCCTAGCACGTCAACTTTCACCTGTTCTGAGGAGCTGCAGAAAGATATTTGTAAGGTAACATATGAGATTGATTATACATTTGACTAAAACAGTGACATATTTAAATTGTCACAAATTTACCTTTCATGTAAGCGGTTACTAACAAATTCTGTTTGATATTTCTAGAGAAACCGTGATGTGAAAACATTGTTTACTAGTGGTTGGAAGTTGAACGAGGCGTACTTGGCTGCCATTTTCCCAACTAGAGTTGGAGCTTCTGGTTTAGGTGCATTTCACCCAAATGTAGGTGAAGAGGCAGCGGATGATGCACCCATTGAAGATCTTACTGGTAATGATGAACAACAACAGGCAAGCCAAGATGCTCCATACCAGAATCTAGATGATGAAGATGCTTGTAATGATCTTTCCGAACGAGTTAAGGTAAGGTGTACGCCGCATACAAAATGTTACAAGATCATACAGGAGTAGGATGGGATCCTAGCACGTCAACTTTCACCTGTTCTGAGGAGCTGCAGAAAGATATTTGTAAGGTAACATATGAGATTGATTATACATTTGACTAAAACAGTGACATATTTAAATTGTCACAAATTTACCTTTCATGTAAGCGGTTACTAACAAATTCTGTTTGATATTTCTAGAGAAACCGTGATGTGAAAACATTGTTTACTAGTGGTTGGAAGTTGAACGAGGCGTACTTGGCTGCCATTTTCCCAACTAGAGTTGGAGCTTCTGGTTTAGGTGCATTTCACCCAAATGTAGGTGAAGAGGCAGCGGATGATGCACCCATTGAAGATCTTACTGGTAATGATGAACAACAACAGGCAAGCCAAGATGCTCCATACCAGAATCTAGATGATGAAGATGCTTGTAATGATCTTTCCGAACGAGTTAATCGTTACGAAAAGCGAAATGTCACAAATATCGCCTCATCTTCACGTGGGATTCGAAAAAGGCAGTCCACAACAAGGAAATCGAACGGTTCTTCGAAAGAAATGCTATTCTCTCTAGTTAAGGAAATGAGAGATGAAATGAAAGAAGAAATTCGTACAACCAAAGAAACCCTACCAAGTTACACAACCGTAAATGGCCCTAGTGAAGCTGACATCATCTTAAATTCGCTTGGGGAAATGGGAATTGATAAGCGTACGCAAACTCATGCTTTTGACATAATCATGGCTTCACCCACTTGGCGGCCAGTTTGGGGTAGAATTGATGAAGATATGAGGCGGACCTTTATTAGTGACTTTGTAGAAGTCCCACAAACTCCACTTGTGCATCATTCTCGGGATCCTTATGGCCAGCCATCTCGCAACTTCCCACAAGTCCCAAATCCTTACAACCAGCCACCTAACCCATACAATCACCCACATAACCCATATAACCAGCCCCCTAATCCATACAATCAGCCTCCACATCCCTATAACCAGCCACCAAACCCCTACAACCACCCACCTACTCCTTAGATTGCCAAGTGTAGTGTTACATGGTCCCATTTTCCCCCATGGTGGACCACGGATTAGTGTTTAGTAGTAGAATTGGAGTGTTGTAATGTTAGACGGCTTTTTTTAAGTACCAAGTTCTCCCCTCTAACGTTTAAGTTGATTATGAGTTGTTATTTTTATTTCCGATTACGTAGTGTGGTTGGACCATTGTTGCGGATTGTTGTCTTGTATTTGATTTTAAAACATTTAACTTGTTCAACCATTTAAGTATTGTTTGAAATACAATTGCGTTATAACAAATTCCTCGTATAGTATGGAAATTGTGCTACACAAATTGGATTACTAATAATTGAGATCATACTTGTAATTACTCTGTTTGATATGTGACGTTACAGGTTAACGTGTAAACCACCCACAATGCAGCCCCAAGGATCAACAAGCGAACGTGACGAAGTGGATGCAAGACGATCTTCCCGCCGAAGAAGGCGCTATCTTGCAGTAATGGCGGGGGCGGCACCCGCGCGCGCCGGGCTTT